CTTAACTGGGCTCTAAGCAGCAGTGACAATGTCTTCAAGGGTACTAGGCCAATGCCGTTTAGCACTACCTCCTATTGCTCAAAACCGGTTTCAAGTTTGTAGCGTTTCTCACAACGCCTTACAAACCATCGACACCACCAACACCGGGAATTGTGCATGCTGCTCACACAGTGTGCACACCACTCACCAACCAAGTGCCGAGGTGGCGACATCCATGGTCCAACACTCACTGGGTTCGCAGCTGACTAAACCCGCTTTGACATCACAGATGCAGTGCAAAAAGCCCCATTTCTCTCTTTTACTCAGCCGCCGTAGTTACCGAATAGCATTGTGTGCTGAATCCGTTAGTAGTTATAATAGTATTCACTACGCTGGATAATGACCACGGCAACATTGACCCTCTAACACAAATGTGTAAGTATGCTCCTTTTAAACATTTGTTAGTACCCCTAATGACTGAATGCTACAACTCAACATGCTGTTCAGACAGTTTCGGTTTAGTTTGACTGAGTCCAGTCTAAAATGCGTTAAATGTTTGACTTATTCGCTTGTGGCAAACGGATCTCCCACTTCAATCATCGAGGTATTTCTGTTGCCTCGTGATTGAAAGGAATCCCTGCAAAACGCGTCTTTTAAGTAACATTTTTCTGGGCCAACTCTGATGAGTGGAATTTCGTCAGGTGACTGATACTCGTTCAAGAGTTTTTACATACGTGAACTACATTTACGTTAGATCTTCTATGTAAACATCCATTTCCCTGATCCATAACGGATTTTTAAAGTCATCCCAGCCGTTGTTAAACATAAACAATCCACATTTTTAATTTAGAGTGTTCAGTGAGCATTAAATAGCCGTCAGTGTGCCAGATCAGCATTCTAGACACAAACTATAAACCGGAAACATTAATAATTTCCCTAACTTTCAGCCAGGTAGTTTCAGCATTTTTCTTTAAAATTTCAGGACTAAAAGAAGCCTATTCACACATCCTGGGTGATTACTTATTTTGTGAATGAACTCTGTTTCGCATCACCCCGCACAAACGTGTTTTATTCGTACTAGTTTCACTTCATGTCGCGATATGTTTCGCGCTTCCGATGCACATGTCATGCCGTGAATTCCTATTCACGTTATGAATTGCGCAGCACTTTGGCCGTAAGAAGACATCATAGGGTCACTTGCGAATGGCAGCAGGGTCACATCCATTTTTATCATAATATTAACCAATTCATCGGTGCCTCAGGATGACCACAATATCGTGCTGCGCATTCATGAATAACGCTTTTCGTTTAATTCGCGTTGGCTTGCTTTATTGCGTGCCGAGGTGTACCTAGCTGTCTGTTGGCGTGTCGGGAAGCTGTTGTCAGAGCCACAGGAGTGGAAGTGTCATTGTTTATCAAAGAGTTGAAGCTGTCGAACAGAAATCGAGCATGTTCGGTTTCTTGTCAGCTTTGCAGCGTGATGGCTAATTAAATAAACCCACGCCGTCAATACTTTACATTTGACAAACACATTGAGCTGAATCGCTTGTAGCGATTTGTGTAGGTATACGCCTACCACCATCATCGGCATCAAGCCCCTCGATTCCGTAGACTTACAATCAGACAATCTCACCTTCTGTTCTGCTTAATGCGGGCACTTCCAGACATTCGGATCTGTCCACATCCCTCCTGTCACTCTGAACACGCTTGCAATTATTAAACGGTGCTCCGCATGGTAGTTTTTCCAAATATTATTAGTTAAAAGCCCCCATTCCTCAGGCCTCTTCTGCCAATGGCTTTGTAAGCACGACTGGGCCGGGCTATCTATTATACGTCCGTCTTCATAAACTTTGGTTACCTTCGTATCGTAGTTCGGCTAGTCCAACGTGGATAAGCCTGAGTGGCTTTAAACCCACACCGAGGCATTACAGAAACTCAGACAAAGGTTTAGCTAGATACGCGCGTTTAAGTGCGGTCGACATATTCGTTTTCAAGGGATGCCAACAGTTGCAACTATTTTATGTCAATTCAGCTGCACAGCCCGGTTGCATTTAGTGAAGTTGTTAGACTGAAGTCTTTACCTCTCACTTTCATATCAAAATTATCGCAAGACATTGGCATTGCTGTCAGATAACTCAGACTTCCTGAGCAATTAATTCTAGAATTCTGCTTGTGTAAATACCCTTCTCAAGTTGAAAAAATTCGCCGTTTTGCAAGTTCTGAGAAATTTCACACAAATACCACTGATCTAACACAACATTGCAGGCGTTATTATTGGAAATTAGGTTAGCTCTCTCGATGGAATTTTACCGTAGACAAGGTTGGAAGCTGTGGTCTGTGATATACACATCATGCTACCTATTGTGTTGAGTTGTAGGTAAATCTATCAATATCTGATGGTACTTCATCTATTAAAAACGTCATAACTGCAATTTCTTCACACCGTGCACCCTCATGAGCGGTAGTAATTTATGTGATTACAAGGTAACTTCAAACAAAAGCTAGTTCTCTCCTAGTTCCACGTAAATTGTCTTGATTTCGTACAGTTTATCACTCTTCCAGTTTCATCTCATCTTTAGTTTGCGTTGGGATCATGTCCATGATTTAAAGTTGTTCTCGCAACTGCTGGTTCTTCTAATCTCCATTTCAGAGTGAGCGCCTTCTACATCAACGAGTTCCAAACGAGCATGGTCTAATGCCTTTCAGTTAGTCCCATACGGTAACTGATGAATATAAATGATAAACCATACATTTGTACTTCTACGATATCCGGTTTTAGAACGCAAACCTGTCATTTTGACTCTGTTCTGACCATTAATCGAGCCTCACGAAAGGCCCTTCAAGTCTCAGAAGGGATCAAGTGGTCAAATCCTGCAGCTTAAATTCTAACAGCATCAACGCAAGCCCAGATAACGTTTGTGGTTACATTAAAAAAAAAATTGAATACACCGAAAAAAAATGCGAAGGATTCTATATTCAAATTACGTTTGATTTATCACGGGGCTGAATCCAAGCTTTACCATAAGTCTTGGCACGTAAAGGAAAAGAAGCAGCAAAAGTACATGTTAAATACAGACACCTCAAACCAAACCCTATGTCTTGCTTGAAAAACGAAAAACATTAAATAAAGATTGACAGCGCAAATACGTAGGCGATGCGGTTAATAAATGAATAAGACACACTAGCAAAAGTTGCACACAATGGGAAAGCGGTTTTAAGCCTTGATTTACATACAGAGCGTGTCGACACACAGAATTTTCCCACGACTTAAGTTGAGCAAATTAAAACGAATAGATGGATTCATTTGAAAAACACTTTGCAAGAAAATGAATCCTTTTTGACAAGGCCACACTAGACAAATGGGAATATACTCACATATCTTCGATATTACCATCTGCCGACACACTCACAAGCTGCCAAGCTTTCTTTACACCTCCTAACACTAAAACCGTGTTAGACTATTCAATTTTGGTTTCAGAAGGCCACATTAGGCATTGAATTAGGAAACACCAAGTGCAAGTGCTGCTTTTGCATCATCGAATGTGGATAAAAATCAAAGAAATTACTCCGCACAAATCGAAGAAGTTAGTGGGACGGTTTGTCATCGACTAATATCAAAACTCTCACAAACTAAATGCACTCCTCATCTCACTTGAACGTGCAAATTTATCAGCGGGAGGTCACTTGGCACTATTAGCAAACAGTATATCAACTGTCAAAGTGTGTCAAGAAAGCTGTTAGTCTGTGGCCCACAGGTCATGCTTACATCAGGATAACTACAAATCGCAGCTGGTACAGTTCATAGAAGTACAACGAACTGAACCATTGCGAAGAAAACAAACACAAGCATTCCACGTCGACTAATTTCCAAACATCACAACGGTTGTGTACAGGTGCTATTTCAAATCAGTGGAGAAATTGAAGCCTTTCCACTTTACGATACAGCGCTTAACTAACCCAGGCAGCAGCGTTGTCACATTCAACAGTACAAGCTACTATTTGTCTTCAAGTACCTTAATTTTTTTAGTCAATGAAACGTGGC